GGTAGTGGTGCAGGACTTCATAGGGGAAGAAGATATATGAGTTCCTTATATATTTTGGAGATTATAAAACTCACACCAAACAAACAACCCAATCAAAATGTAGGCAAACCTGAAAATACACCTCTCCTAAAATGACATGCAAACAGCCAATAGATATATGAAAATATGCTCAACCTCACGGGCAATTAGGGAAATGCAAATCAAAACTACAATGAGATACCACCTCATACCTAATAGAGTGGCCATTATCAACAAGACAAGCAGTAATAAGTGTTTGAGAGGTTGTGGGAAAAAGGGAACCCTTACTCACTGTTGGTGGGAATGTAGACTGGTGCAACCACTATGGAAAGCAGTCTGGTGATTTCTCAAAAAAAAAAGTAAGAATAGAGCTTCCATAGGACTCTAAAATTTCCACCTGGGTATATACCCTAAAATCTCAAAATCATGTGTTCGCAAAGATATGTGTACCCCTATGTTCATTGCAGCATTATTCACGGTGGCCAAGACCTGAAACAACCAAAGTGTCCTGACAAGATGACTGGATAAAGAAGATGTGGTACGTATTACAATGGAATACCAGAAGAAAGGATGAAATAGCACCTTTTGAAACATGGATGGACCTTGAGAACATTATGCTAAGTGAAATAAGTCAGTCAGAAAAAGCTAAGTATCATATAATTTCACTCATATATGGGATATAAAACTGAATCTTGTATACACAAACAGCAGTGTGGTGGTTGTCAGAGGAAAGGGGAAAAAAAGGGTCTTAATATATGGTGACAGGAGAATATTTGACTTTGGGTTGTGGACACAGTGCAATATACAGGTCTTGTAACTGACACCTGTGTCAGTTTCTGTTACAAACACAGATAATAATTTAATAAAAAGAAAAAGGAAAAAATAAATAAATAAAAGCACGGCCAAAAAACAAACAAACAAAACAAACAAACAAAGAAACTGACACCTGAAACATATATGTTCATGTTGACCAATGTTATCCCAATAAATTTAATAGAAAAATAAAAACAAAGGGGAGGAAGGCAATTCACATACATAGAAAAGTGAATGTTCAATAAACAAATATATGCTGGGCCATCTTTAACAATGAGACACAGAGAACTTTGATCAAGCAGGCCTTGCTAGCTTCTCCCCAATCTATCACACTAGTTCATCTAGTGGGGGGGAGAGGGGTGTGGTGGAAAGGATGGACAAAAGTAGGTTTACAGTGGTTCACATGGAAAATAATACAGTAATTAATCAATAATAATATAATAAACTGTTTAGCATGTACTCACAACTTATATTATTATTGATTTATTATTGTATTATTTTCCATGTGAACCACTGTAAACCTATTTTGTCCCACCCTTTATATACTAGTATATTTTATAGTTAGCTCTGGTGGTAGCTCTTTTTTCCTGGAATAGGCCTCTTAAATTCTAGGCAGTTTGGGGAAAGGTCAAAGGTTCTTCTTGAGTCTTTGTTTCTTAGAAATAATCCTTGTGCCAGAAAGACAGACTTCGGGGTGGCAAGTTTGGCTTCCCTACATAGGTAAGCTCATCCCCAGTATCTAAAGAGGAACTTTAAGGCTTTCTTTCTCCTGCCTATGTTTTCTACATCGCATGCCTCTAGGTCTGTGCCAGTGCCCCATAGAAAGTATTGAAGTCATTATTCACTGAAAAGCTAAAATTAAAATAAAGACAAAGTAGAAGCGATTCCACCATGTGTCTGAAATAAAAAGTGTTTTTTCTTTTTTTACATTTGACTTTTTCGGAATGCTCTGAACTGCTTGGATGATGTCTATCTCCTGAGTCCCTCCTGGCATTGGATCTGTGGGCTTGTGAAAGTTTGAAGTTTCTTCTCAAAAGTCACCATGAACTGAGTCATCATATTGCCTCCAGACCCGCCTTTTAGCGAATAGACTTGTAATGAATAAATAATTTGGTTTCAAAATCTCTACATGTTGATTCTCCAAAAGACTCGCCCTGTTGACTCTTTTCATCTTCTGATTCATAACTCTCCTTGTGAAATTTGGGGGGATACAGTCATATTTGAAAATAGAACTAAGGTTGTATTTGGTGGAAGCCATGGCTACTACCATATATCTGTTTTCAGGTCTTACAGCAAACTTTAATAAACAATTGTGCTTTTTCCCCAACATAGTAACTGGGATCTGGGATTTATGCAAACATCTTGAATTTTGTGTCTTGTGATGGAAGGACTGTGGAGTATTTCTCTCAGGAACAAATGGAGAAGACCTGGGCTCACAGCTTCTGCTCGCTGTTGAGCTGTTGTATGTCTTTTGACAATTTGCTTCGCTTCTCTAGTCCTCAGTTTCCTCTCCTGTACAATGAAAGAGTGGAGTCACACTTTTTGGGGGACTCTTTTAGATCTCAAAAACCTACCGTTCTTCTATTTTAAACTAATCCAACAATTCTTATATATTTAAGAAATGTTTACGGTGTTTGAGGATCATCGTTATCCTCTTAGATACTTACAATATTTTACAACATTATATATTTCGCTTCACTGTATGATAGTGATTTGGAATGTGGAGCAATCTTGATGAGAAAATCCCATCAATGAGTATTTGGCACTTACTCTGTGCCAGCATAACTTCATATAATTGCATTTGATCATGTTTATGTAAAAAAATAAATAAATAACCAAGCCCTTTTTAAAAAAACAAAACACTATAATATTAAAAAGTTGTAAATTAGTTGAAGCACAGGTCCTAATAGTAAAATATCTTTGTTGAAGCTCCGCTTTCCAATTATTTCTTGAAGATATAAAATATTTTTCTATCTATAAATAATTGTTTTCAGTTTTTCAGAGATTTCCTGTTCCACTGAAAACAACTAAGATGATGGCTAAGATTTTTAAAAACTATGTGCATGCATAGGCTGACTATTTAGATAGGCAGAGACTAGAGAGCAATGGATCTGATAAGGGACATCACAAGTCTTAAGAGCCAGCAGTTCCGCTCCTGGTAAACGCTCCTCAGCAAGCACATGGACTAGTGATTAGAGAGGCACCACTTTTAGTAGCAAGAAAGTAGAAACATGTTTGTTATATGGGTTTCCTATCCCTACACACAGTATAGGAACTATTTTTAAATATACTTAGAAACAAAAACAAGAAAGGAAAAGACATCTATATCTATTTGGTTCACAACTCACTCCCGCAAGCATTTTGAGGGCATGTTTAGGAAAGACTGCATGGAAACATTGGATTCTGAAACCACATGTCCCATTTATGACTTTGTGTTTTATAGATTTCACATCCTAGTTAGAAATATAATGATAAAAGAGTAAGTTTCTCTTGCCACTCTGTTCTGATTGAATGGTGGTTGATAAGATGTTGTTTTTTATGAGTAGAGGAAAGCAGTATTATATTATAAAGTAGTTTTATATTATGCTTTACACCTCACAGTTACAGTAGATTTTATTTTAATTAGAGGAGTTGTAGAATAATAAAGGAACCAGAAAAGCGTGATTAGCAATAATTAATATCTTGGGTTCTTTGAATTTATTGACAGTTTCATTGACAATTTTTCTTGTTAGCTGTATTTTATAAGATGTATCAGTATTCATTTCTTTACCCTGCAAGGAAAAAAATAGGAACTAATAATATATAATATATAGAATAAAGAAAAAAATTCACCCAGCGGTGTGACCTCAGGCAAAATCACTAGGTTTTCATTTCTTTATCTGTAAAATCAGGATGGTGGACATCAGCTTTAAAATGTTCTGTCTCTGATGATAACCCTCAGAGAGGGAAACGTGCAGACACACACCACTCTCTCCAGTTAGGAGTGTGCTGGCTGTATTCTGTTGCATGCGATGGAGAGCAGCAAGTTGGTTCCAGCAGTACCCACTGCATTGCAGCTGTCTGCAGAGAACAACAGGAAACCTCTCTGCAGATATGACGAGGAATGTGGAGGAACTCTGGGGTTCTTGTTCCCATGGAAATAGAACCTCAATTAAAATTCTATTCTCATCTCTCCGAACCATGCACAAGATTCTGAAATTGAAATTCAAGAATGATTCCGAGGCACCTGGTGAGCTTTGTAATAGTCCATGGCCCTTCTGCACTGATGTGACTCAGCTCTTAGAGACACTCATCACAGTCGCTCCTGGAAGGTTTACAAATGAACTCCCAAACCTCACCCTGGGGTGGCCACTGAGTCAGAAACTCCCTGGTGTGGTCCTGGCACACAGATAGTTTAAGATTGTCCCTGAGTGGAAACACATGTAATAAAATTCAGCTTCCAGATGGACCTGGACATAAGAAGGGAGAGAATATGATCAAGTCAATATTTTTACAATCAAAAGCTGAATACCCCCAAGGAACAGCCCACAATTCATTACTGTAATTTGTTGGAAATTTTTTATACTAACTGTACAAATGATGCTGACTGTGATGTTAGTGCAAAGAGCAATTCGTCCAGCTATGCAGCAGCCGTAATAAATTCCAGGCCTCAGAGCAGCTATCAGAATGATTTTTTTTAAGGGAAAAGATAAACCATTAGTGAAATGCAAACTCAGAGTTGAATGCTTTTTATCATTTGTAGGATAATAAGAATTTAAATCCATTGGATGTCTACCCAGGTCCAGGAACTGTGCTAGAAACTTCCAATCCATTTTTTCTAGTCATCGTAACAAGTTAATTGCCCATTAAAAGATGAAGAAATGGAAGCTAACAGAGATTAAAATACTTCCCAAGCTTTGAAACTAAGAGTTAGCAAAGCCAATATACCTTAAACCAGGTCTTACCATGGTAGACTTTCCTGAATATGCTACCAATCCTGTCATTCCCCATTGCCTGGAATTACATGGGCAGAAGGAAAAAGCTTTCCTTTTGTCACAATCTCTGCTGTTGGTCCAGACACTGATGCTATTACAGGAAGGTCATGGGGAAAGCTTTTGTTCTGCAGCCGTCACAGGCACAGAAGGAAGTTCAGGTAAACTAAGAGCGCCTTCTGCTTGCACCACACTGCGTGGGGAGTGGAGTGGACTCCAAGAAGTCTGGCTTTCTTAAAAGTGCTGGTTGGATGTGGTCATGGGTGGGACTTGCCCAAAAATACGGGCAGGCAACAAAGTGAGAACTGAATGAAGGCAGGACGGAGGGAAGGCAGGGCTGGGAGGCTAAGGAGCCCAGGAGAAGCAAGGGCAGTGGGACATTTTTATTGTAAAGGATGGGTCCAGAAGAGCCTGAGTGAGAGAGAAATGTGGGAGCCCATTAGGACAGAAAGAAGAGATAAATTCCCATTCTTCTCCTGAGGCCTGTCCAATCATTGCATCAAAAAGGAAGGGAGCATTCTTCCTGTGTGATAAGAAAATTAACCAATTGCATCATGTCAATAAGACCTGCTTTTACACATGTATTAAAGACCCTCAACCAAGAGGCATCCCCAGCATTCACTGCTATATAAGTTAAATGTTTCTATACCAAATATGTTTTCTTCTAGAGTCAAAAATAGTTCAGATAGTTTACTCCCATTCTTTTAACAAACTATGGATGAGCCTGGCTGACCCAGTGCTATAATTCCATGAATCACTGTGAGGTTCCTAACACATGAAGGTGGATGAGTCATGATCAGGGGCATCCTACATAATAAAAGACTAATATGCAAATCAACCAAATGGTGACAGGACCAGTCACTATGATGTGCACTGACCACTAGGTGGCTCAGCCAGAAGCCAGGTTCATGGCTGGTGAGTGCAATGGTGGTGGCAGGAGCCTCTCCCACTTTCACAACAGTGCTAAGGCCCCCTCAGGGGATGTCTGCCTGCCAGCTTAGGCCCCTAAGCCGGCAGGCAGACATCCCCTGAGGGGGCCTGGACTGTGAGAGGGAGCAGGCAAGGCTGAGGGGCCCTCAAGTGCACGAATGTCATGCACTGAGCCTTTAGTTTACAATGAAAGGGATTGACACAGACTATCTCAATTTACAGACCAGGTCACTCAACTCAGAGAGAGGGAGTGGTTTCCTAGTGGTCCCAATAGGTTTCAGGGGCAGAGCTGTGCTTATGAGACTGATGACTCTGACTCCAGGGGTCTTTCTATTTTCTTAAGGGTTTCCAACACATGTTCCTCCAAGCTGAGGGATAATCTATGCAGGGACCAAAATCTTCCCAGGCTGGTACAGTGTTCCCTCTGCTGAGGGTGGAATTTGTTAACAGCAGACAACAATTCCAGGTTCCCAAGGTGGCCCATGCCTTCTTCAGTGGGTATGTCAGCTGCTGGTGTGAAGCAAATTAAATCATGCATCTTTAGATAATTGAAGACTGGGAAGCAATTGTTATTTCCAACATGAACCCCTTAATCAGATATGGATCAGGATTCTCTCTTTGCAAGTCATGAAGTAAACTTAACATCACGCTTTATGCATCTCAGTGTGGTCACCCACAAATGTCCCACTGAAAGTAGAGTAATGGGAGGCATCAGTAGGATTCCCTAATCTTGTTTGACATCCCCTCAACTGAAGGCTGCAGTACTAAAGGTCAAGACTTTTCAGAACTGAGTACTCTTTGATAGAACACAGCATCTTCAGTTAGTCAGACTGTCCTGTGTTCCTTCCTAATCAGACTTGATGACGTTTAATGGTTCCATACTTCTAAGCTGCCAGTTTCTTAAGATGATTGCATTTTATTTCATTTTACTTGTTTATTGTGGTAAAATATACATTAAAAAATCAGCATTTTAACCATTTTTAAGCGCACAGTCCATTGGTATTAATAAATTTACACTGTGCACTTATCACCACCATCCACCTGAGAACTTTTCATGTCCATTAAACATTGACTTGCCTTTTCAACCACAATTCTACTTTCCGTTTTGATGAATCTGACTATTCTAGGTACCTCACCTAAGTAGAATCATACAGGATTTATTCATGTCTACAAGGCTCATCCATGTTGCAGCATGGTTCAGAATTTTCTTCTCTTTTTAGACTGAAAAATATTTCATAGTATCTATATACCTCGAATTGTTTATCAGTCCATCTGTCGGTGGATGCATGGGTCATTTCCACCTTTTAGTTATTTTGAATAACACTGCTATGAACATGGGTGTAAAAATATCAAAAGCAACCATTTTATGATTTAATGATGTTTAATTTTAATCTCAAATGGATAAAGCCCTATATTAACTTGTTGTTATATAATTTGGGCTAGTTCAACAGATTTGTAAAAATTGTCCTTGCCTTGATGTTAGCAAGTCTTTTTTTTTTTCCTTTTTAATGAAAAGAGAACTTTAATCCCTTTTTTAATTCTCTCTTTCATCTGGAAAGCACCAGTTGGTTTGTATTGGCTGCCTATTATTGCTGTTACATAACAGTCTTGAATGGAAGAGTCATACATGGACATATACATTATCCTCTTCATAATATCCAGAATGACTCAGACCATCAATATAAAATTACTAATGCTTACATTTCTAAGATGCATTATAAGTGGTTCTTTCTTAAATATTCATAATTCCACTTCAGGTAAAATCAAATTTGTCACAAGATTGCATACAGAAAACATTAGTTTGCTAATTTGCAAGGTTTCTTTAATCTTCCATTTTATTATTAATTTTTCCTGCTCTCCACCCACCAAAGAAGATATAGTTGAAACTATATTCCCAGGGCTGCTGAAAGCTACAGTTAGGACAACTCAGTGCTGGGAACTATTTTAATAAAACTTAGACCTACAAAAGGAAACAAGAAAGGTGTCAAGGAGTTGAAATTTTCTGTTCAGAGAGCCCTTTTCTGAAAATAACTAAGAGTGACAACCAGAATTCTCAGACTTACAGATAAAATTTTGGCCAGAATGATGATAATTCTAACATTAATGTAAACATTTCAGTAAGACAAACACATACACTCAAGCAAAATACTTTGTTAGAGGTCAAGTTGATCACTTATACAAATTGTTGGACACTGACATTTATACATACTTCACCTTGACAGAGTAGGTGTGGCAGGGACATTTAGTGATCACTGAATGAATGTCCGTGTTTTTCCCATGTTTTCTAGCCCTTTGCAGTTAGGTGAGGTCACATGACTGGCTCTATCTAATGGGCTATGAGTAGAAATGTATGCCAATTCTAGGCCATTTCATATAAGAACTGGGAAGTCAAAGTCATGCTTCTTTTCCTATATTCATTTAACCAAGCTGTATCTATACTTCGAATAATTCTTTTCTTGTATGATTCTGAGTTAGAGTTGGCCCAAAGAGAAGTCCATACAAGGTTTAAAAACAGAAATCAAGTTGCCAAGAAGGTCTTTGTGGTTAGAGAGTGAAAGACTGATGGGAAAGGGCCAGTAGCGTCCAGCTTTTCCTTGCTCTTGTCCCTCTGTTTGTCCTCCCTGCCTGCTAGGAGAATGGTGCACACGAGTCTACTGCCAGATGCAGAAGCAGCAGCTTCCCACATGCTGTCTACTGGCAACTCTTTGCAGCCCCACATCCATAACTAAATACCCCTGGCTTGCCAAGTGCCCAGGCAAGCTCCAACCGGTCCTCCCATGCCAATGCTCAAAGCAGGATTACTTGTGAGTTTTCTCTGACTTCCCTAGCAACAACATCGCAGCAGTCTAGATGGATGAATAATCACAGGGAGGGTAGTGTCTCTTGAGTGTTGAGAACTCCAACCAACATTTTCCTGTACAGAAAAAAACAAACACGCCTTTTTATTCAGAAAGACACTATAATTTGGGAGCTTGTTTTTATAGTATTGCCTAGCCTAACCTAAGAAATACAGTCCAAAGTATTATTGGATTAGAATACAACTAACAAAGAATCTGGCATCCCATTCAATAGCTTCGAAGATTTTTATTCCTCATTCATTTAAATTGTCAGTGTAAATTGAGAAAAATGAAAAGATCTGGACATTTCAGCAAACTGGACATACTAGTATTTCCAGGGAACTGTGGTCTTGTGAATTATGACCAGAACATGTCTACCTGAGGGAAGACACAATGGCTCATGCATCGTCACATCTAAAACATCCAGCCCCATACACAGTGGCCTTAGTGTGCACGGTGAGCAGTGAAATAAATGAAAATATGGGCACCAGGCACAAAGCCAAGAGATATACCTAATGTAAAACTCTCAAAGCTGAGTGAGAGAGGAGCAATGTAAGGCCATTGCTCATAGAAACGGTGGCACCTCGAGAATCAAAGAGGCATTTGACTAGCCAGCTGCACGCTAGATAAAGGCTGGTGTGAGCACGGCCCTGAGCAGATTTGAGCATGATGAGAGTTCTTGAAAGTGTTTTACACACCTCCTGCTGTTTAGGGCATTTTTCTACCTGGTGATGCTTGAAGTCAGCAGTCAATAAAAGTAGAATGGTAATGAACACTGCATAGTAAAAGAAACGAAGGCTGCCCGGCCATGTGGCTCAGTGGTTGGGCGTAGACCTATGAACCAGGAGGTCATGGTTTGATTCCTGGTCAGGGCACAGGCCGCAGTGATGGGCTCGATCTCCAGTGGGGGGGGGGGGGGGAAAGGGGGTGTGCAGGAGGCAGCTGGTTGATGATTCTCTCATCATTAATGTTTCTATCTCTCGCTCCCTCTCTGAAATCAATTTTGAAAAAATTAATGCTATATTTTAGTATGCCATGCTCTCAGAAGAGGTCCTCAGTGATGTCCCCCACCCCCACCCCCCACCCGGCCCCTGGAGCCATGTAAAGGAGCCCATTGAGAAGAGAAGGCAGGGTGTAGCATTGTCAAGATGACTGCTGGCCAAGGAAGTGGACCCTGGGGAGAGGTGACTGCTGAGAAGGATGATGGAACTCCTCCCTTAGATGGAGGGAATGGGAGTGGGGAGAGATGCCACTGAGTTGGGTATTAGGGTGAAGTTTTAAATTACATTGGCTAGACATTCAATAAACACATCTAATTGGGCATTTCTATTGTATATTAGATCAGAATGTCTTTAAGGAGCAGGGAAAAAATACCAACAGAATTTGATTCAATATAATATTGGGGGAAGCATTTCATGATAATAGCCTACTGCTCAGTAAACTGGTAATATTTATCATAACTACCCAGCATTTTATCCGGAGTTTGTAGCCACAGTTCCAAAGAGAAGGAGGCATCCCCCTGAGGCCATCTGGGGAAGTGACAGTTTTGGTCAGGAAGTAGATGCCGAGGGGAAAATGTTGGCGAGAGACTTTATTGTCGTTTCTGTGGAAGAAACAGGCAAAGTGAGCTAAGCGGACCTAACATTGCCGTGTCTGGGTCATTTCAGCAGGCTCCAGGCTGGAGAGCCTGTCATTAGTAATCTGGAAAATCCACAGATATTTATAAACTAAATACCATACTTATAAATAAATGAGTCACAGAGGAAATTAGAAAATATTTTAAACTGAATAAAGTAAGAGTACAACATACCAAAATTCATGAGATATGCCCTGGCCAGTGTGGTTCAATGGGTTGGGCATCATCTAGTGCACCCAAAAGGTTGCCAGTTAGATTACTGATCAGGGCACCTGCCCGGGTTTGGGGCAATCCTGGGTGAATAAGGGGCAGCTAATCAATGTTTATCTTTCTCTATAAAAAAAAATCAATAAAAAATATATTTTTTAAAATTTTATGAAATGTAGCTAAAGACATTTTTAGAGGAAAACTTATAGGAATGGATACTTTAAAAGTACTACCACAAATAATCTAAGTTTCTACCTAATAAACTAGTAAAATAAGAGAAAAATAAATCCAGAGCCAGCTAAAGGAAGAAATAACAAAGAACAAACATAAATAAGGATAAAAGATAATGAAATAAAAAGCTATTTGTTGAAAAGAGAAATATAATGGATAAACATTTTACCAGATTGATTAAAAAAACAAGCAAATAAGCAAACAGAAAATAAAAGATTCAAAAATTGTGGCCGAGTAAGCAGAAGCTACACTGACACTCTCCTGGGGCCAAACTGAAAATACAACTCAAATTCAGAAAAAAAAACACCTTGAAAAAAATCAACTGAAGCCTAGCTAGAGAGAGCCCTGATAACTAAGGATGGAAAGTGGATACACACAGAGACTGGTAGGAAGTGTGGAGGCTGGAAAGGGCTGGCTGGGCTCCCACAGACAGCAACTGAAGTTCTGGAGGGATATCTCAGCTGTGGGGGGTTCCCACTGAGAATTATGGGGTATTAAACCTTAAGTTGGGCTCCCCAGCAGATAGCACTGGAACTGAGGAAGTTGCCCACATAGGATCTGGCTGTGAAAAGCAGCACAGTTGCTGCCTGCAGCAAGAGATGGAGGGAAATGAAGGCATTCTTTTAAAGGGCCAACACACTTAATTATATGTGTAGCCACTCACCTTGGGCTGCAGAAAAGGGAGGACCCAGTAGAATCCAGTTGTGTGAACAGAAGCCAGGTTTGGTGGGGCTCTGGGTCTGGAGCTCAATGGGCAGCCATCCTGGTTCCCTGTGCTGAGTCATTCCCTCACACTAAAGAGGTCATTTTTCTTTGTGGATCTTTTCTATCCATGTATCTTTTGTCTGGGGGAAGGCAGTTTCCCCACTCTGTTGGAAGACCTCTCTCTTGGCCTTGTGGTCAATAGCCTGAGGCTAATAAAGATTGCATGTCAGTGAGACTGCAGGCAGAGACAGATCTCTGGAGATTTTGAGTCTTTACCTGATCTAATTCCAGGTCTGGGGCTAGGAAAAGCAGACCCTGGTGCATATCTTGGTCATTTCCAGCAGAGGAAGCCACAATCTGTGAATTACTGATAGCTTCAAACAGGGTACTCAGGGCCAGCACATTGTCTGACATTGTCATGCCCTAGAGGTTGGAATTCGTAGCAGAGCTACCTTATTCACAGACTCAAAGCCAAATAGGCAGCCAAAATGGGGAGACAAAGAACAAAGGAAATAAGTCATATTTGTTTTACTTCAGTACACGCTTTTTGCAAAAATAAAAATGAGAGTAAGATTATTCTGTGTTCTTTGGAACTAAATGATTTCTTTAGTAACAGGAAATATAAATATGTTATAAAATTTAACCATGTTTATAACACACACTAAATGTGACCTTCAGCACATAATTTAATCATCTTTGTAGAATGCAATAATTACACTAGTTCTTATGTAAAACCCCTTTTCATTCTAATATCAATTATTAAAATGTCATTTGTAGCCCTAGCTGGTTTAGCTCAGTAGATAGAGCATCTGCCTACAGACTGAAAGGTCCCAGGCTCTCTTCCGGTCAAGGACTCAGGTTACAGCTTGATCCTCAGAAGGGCATGTGTAGAAGGCAGCCAGATCAGTGATTCTCTCTCATCATTGATGTTTCTATCTCTTTCTCCCTCTCCCATCCTCTCTGAAATCAATAAAATATATATTTTTTAAATGTCATTAATAAAAACATATTTAGTACATCCTTAGTCACTAGTGTCTTCAGGTTTGTTTGTTTTTTATTTCACCAGCAAGGATTATGAAACAAAGGCATATTTTGGTTTCTTATTAATTGAAACCTTTCAACTAATTGAAACATATTTTTTAATTTTCAGATTTTTTTGTTTAACTTGGACCATTTGTTCCCTTTTATTCCTGCAGATTTTATTCATGGTAGACATTGTGAAACTCCATTAGCCAATTCTTTGGGGATCATGGTTGTTTTTATAAACAGTGCACAGAATTGTGGAGGGCTTCAGAAATGTCTTGTTGTCCTTGGCTCTGGAAGTCGATGGGGACTGAGGTAATAAATATTTTGCTTAGGTATTTGCCTCTCACGGGTAGACTGGGGCACAGGGAAAGGGGGATTTAGAAGAAGTAAATGATAAATAGATTTGTGGGTGTTACATGAACTACTTTAAATCAAACAAAAGAGATTCTATACATATTTGAATGGTGGTATTCTTCTATGCTTTAGGGTTCCGAAGAACTGGCAGGATGTGCTGAGTGTATCTAGTGGCCTGGTGTGACTCTTCAGAGTTACTGAGATCTGTAGTACCACGGTTCCCTTACTCAACTACTATGAAGAGACTATATGGAGATGGTGTGGTAGGGGAAGGAACTTGGGCTCCAGAGTTAGAAGTTTGAATCCAGCTCAACTACTTTGCAGCAAAGTGACCTCTCTGCAGAGTCAGATGCCTTGTGACAGATAGAAACACCAATGAGTAAAATGCCTTGAATACTGAACAGAATTTGTGTACAAGGTGCCTAGAGTACATCAGACTCTAAATAGATACTCCATAAATGTTCATCCATTTCTTCTGCTTCTTTCCTTTAATCAGCAGATTGGGGATTCTAAGTAAAATATTGGTTAACACTGACACTTTTCTAATTTGATTTGAAAAATAAAGATGCATCAGTTGAAACAAATTGTCATCCACCAGAGATGGGTTTTCAATTTTCAAGAAAAAACTGAGAAACTATCAGGCAAAAGTGTTTCACCATAAACAAAACCCCGTCTTAAAAAAAGGCTAAAGGTGTAACCAACCAGTTTGCAAACGGATCAGTCCTATGTGTTCCATCTACCTCTTGAAGAGAATTAGACAAGCACTTTAAAAATGTACTGGCATTAGAGTCTCAAGTATGTAAAGCAAATCTCACACATACACATTATTGTAAGAATTCTAAAAAGGCATACATGAAAATATTAATTGCAGTCATCTCTAGAAAGTGATATATTGAAGTATTTTTTCTATTTTATAATTAACCCTATTTAACAAAAATTTTACATGGATAGCGTTAATAATCAGAAAAGACACGAAAATATATTAGAAATAAATTTCCAACTTTAGCCTGTGTTTCTGGATTTGATTCTTGTTAGCCTGTTATGGTGAGGATTGAAAAAGGGACCCTGGGGAGAACGGGGAAAAGCAGACTGCTATTTACAAAGGGGCAGACACCTTAAAGTCCGTTTCAAATCATGACTTAAGATCTTTCCTTTTTAGTGCACTAGTATAGCAAACCTCTAGTTCCATTATCACACAAAAGGCATGGCACCCTAGGGGTGGCCTTAGAACATACCCTAAGTCCATTGGACCATGATTTACCTTAATGTGGAATCTAAGCAAATAAACATCATATTAACAGACTCAGAGATACAGAAAACAGATGGACAGCTAGCTGTCAGAGGGGAGTGCATTGGAGACTGGGTGAAAAAGACAAAAAGATTAAGCAAAAAACAACAACAGAACACCTTACAGACACAGGCAACAGTATGACAATTACTAGAGGGAAAGGTGGATGGGGAGGTGGTAGAAGAACTTAGTGGGGATAAGAGGTAATGAAAGGAGACTTGACTTTGGATGGTGGACACACAATACAATATACACATGATACATAGAGTTGTACACTTGAAACCTATATAATTTTATTAACCAGTATCACTCCAATAATCTCTATAAAAAATCTTACCTAATAGTAGAGAAACATGTAAATTGGCTGTACCTTTGCTACACCTACAGCCAATCAGAGTGAGTATACAAAGATGGAGGTTAATTTGCATACTGACCTGGGTCCCAGGAACCTCCTCAGCACCTAGGTCACTCCCAGCCAGCCATGGTGAAGGGGGGCAGAGGGGTTCCTTCCCAAGGCTAAAGCCTCAGGCAGAGGCTTGGGCAGGGGCTGACCCTGGGATTGGAGGGAAGGGGGGAAAAAAATCAATGGAAACATATCTTCAGATGAGAATAAAAAGAAAAAAGAAAGAAAGAAATGTCATATCCTATGAAAGACACATCTTGAAAATGCCTAAAGAAAGTTGTCATTTTTTCATGGTGAAGGGATTGGAGTTCATGTTGATGAAAATATCTTGGTGGCTGCAGTGGCTGCAGTGGCTGTAGCAGCGGGGTGATGGGGCTGGTGCCTTCCCCTAATCAGCCCAGCTGTCTCCCTTAAAGGGAGGCCAGACTGCAACTTAGGTCCCCTCCCAATGGGGAGCGGGCATAAGCCATCAGTAGGACATCCCCTGAAGGCTCCCAGTATGTGAGAGGGGGCACGCTGGGCTGAGGGACCCCTCCCCAGTGCACGAATTTTGTGCACCGGGCCCCTAGTAATAATAATAAAAGAAAGTGTAAAGATTCAAGAGAGGTCAAAGTGGGAAGTGCATCGGCCTACAGAATGAAGGATCCCAGGTTTAATTCCAGTCAAGGGCACACGCTTGGGTTACGGCCTAATCCTAGTGTTGATAATACCAAGTGAGCAAAATTCATCAGATTAGAAAGTGAGATTGATCTGGACCATTCAGCTCTTTAGCCCAGAGCCCTCCAAGTGTGGAGAGTGTGAGCCCTGATGCCTGAGACAAAGCACAGGTGTGAATGCAGATGTGCAGGGCAGCATGAGGGACAACACAAGCTGGGAACTGGGCAAAGCAACAGAGGCATTTTTGGAAGCTCAGTAGAATTCACAGAAGCCATGACAACAATAGTAGATTATAAAGAAAGCATTTATGAATTATGTATAGACTTAGTGTTTAAATTATACAGATAATTGCAAAAGAAAAAATTTAATCCAATTCCACCACTTTGAAATAATTGATTTCTCCTTTTTCTCCTCGGGGTGTGTGTGTGTGTGTGTGTGAGTTTGTGTGTACACTTGCATGTGTGCCAACAATGTTTTTTTTTCTTTTTCATTTTTCATTGACAAGGATTTTAAACATCAGTAATGAAATGTGAGGGTGTCTGGTTTGTTTTCCATTTAGGATTGTTTGCTCATTTGTGGGGACTATGTTTGCACAATGAGACAGAGACTATAGTTTCCTCTGTGTTTGGTTTGGGGTTGGCAGAGCCAGAAGGGACCTGCCTTCCCAAGGCGAGACTACTCCAGGTTGAATTTTATTTTATTTTATTTTTATTTTTTTTATAAGTAAGGATTTTTCCCCCCACATGGCTAGATGTTCTAATACATCCTGGGATCCCACAGGCTATTTAGGCCTTGTTGCCCCAGCCCCCCTGTTTCCCACTACCCCAACCATAACTTTAGGATATGGAGCTTACAGACACTGGAAGATTTCTGAAAAAGAAATGTGGATACACAACTTCAAATACCATTTCTTATAATGATTGTGTGTGTGTGTGTGTGTGTGTGTGTGTGTGTATGTGTGTGTGTGTGTGTTTACTGGGTCAATAAGAAAATATTCTAAATATTACAAAGGAAGAGACCAGAGTGAAAATTAATCCACCTTAGTGAAGAACTAGAGCTCTCTGAGCAGGAAAAACAATTTTCCACATACTGCCCCATGAATCTGGTCACGACCTCCACATTATTTTTAAGTTCATGTTCATAGGAAGATGATCAAAATTTCAACATGAATGTTTTTTGCAGCTGCTATTGCTTGCTGTTTCCTGAAATCTGGGATTCTACTTTTTAGAAAAAGATCATTTGTGAAGGATATTTTTTCAGAAGTTGATGGTACATTCCCTTGGAAATTAATTTTTGAGCCTACAAAGTATTACCAGAAAATGTAGAAGTGACATGGTGAGTGCATATTTGTCTCTTGAATATATGCATTCAAAATTTAAAAATAAACTAAAGAACATATCAAACATTTAAATTTGTGAACACATCTCAATTTATCTTGATTTGAGAAACATTTATAGAGTCTATATTTGCAACACATATATGTCTATCCAGGTTGAATATTAAAGGTGACTTTGCAGATCTTAGGTGGGATCATGGGTGGGCTGTTCTTTTTATATTTTCACCTAAATATTGAGCTCATGAGAACTCCCAGCAGCCCAGGACGCTGCCTGCAGCTCTCATATACACACAAGCCTGACATGGGCTTTCTGCTAGCCAGACTGGGGTTGTCTGGTCAGTCCAGGGGTGTCTGGCCAAACCACAAGGTTGTTGAGTATAAAGTGAGTTCCAGAAGCCTGCATTCTGGTCTGACCTCTGGGAGTTTTGTTGTCCCATCTGTGGAAGAAGAGATTGGATTCGAGGAAGTGAAAGCTCAGGCAAACTCTAAACGCTATGATTGTTCTTGTATCTCTGGATCTAGAAATGAATAAGATGCATGTACTTTGCATCTCACTGTTACACCAAAAATCACTGTTAATCTGCTGAACTGGAATCCAATGACCATAGAGAAGTAGTCAACCAGGTACCAATTTTTACTGATTCCAGGGTAATAATAACAATGAAAATATAATGGAATACAGTTATAATGGAATTCATTAGGCTTGGATTCTGTGAATCAAATATTTTTTAATTAAGCAATATGAAACTGATATGACTCAATTTTGCCATATATTGCTCTAATAATAATAATAAGCCACAAAAGGTAGTCTGATGACATTAAACTATTTAAGAAAACAAACCAATTAAGAAAGTGTGTATATGACCTAGCAGAAAATCTAGAATATCCTATGACTAATTTAGTCTATCAAACAAAAACAGCTACATGGTATTTCCTTGTCCATAGACAATTATCTTAGACTTCATAAGTTGTGTCAAATTTATTAGTAAGATGAATCAAAAACCATATTTTTGAGGAATAATTGACATAAAACATTATATTAATTTCAGTTATACAACATAATGAGAATTCCGTGGCATAGTTTTTAATTTATAATTTCTTAGTGTTCTTGACAATTTATATAAATGTTTTTAACTTTCCTTTTTTTATTGATTTCAGAGAGGAAGAAAGAGGGAGAGAGAGATGGAAACATCAATGATGAGAGAGAATCATTGATCGGGTGCTGCCTGCACACCCCACACTGGGGATCAAACCCAAAACCTGGTTATATGTCCTGACCAGGAATTGAACTTTGACCTCCTGGTTCACAGGTTTAATGCTCAACTACTGAGCAACACTGGCTAGGCTTAACTTTTTAAAAAAAAATTAGAGTAACTTGGGATGCACTAAATAATCAAAGAAGCCTCAAAAGTACAGTTGATTAAAAACCTTTTTTTGATATTTCTGCCAGAGAATATCAATATGGTGTACCTGTTACCTGCTGGTAGATAATGATAAACCATCTCCCCCGAAAAAGATTATTTTACATTGTGCTCAACATTGGCAAGTGTTCCTGTTTTCCACACCACTGGAAGTCTTGAAAGTCAGACAATAAGAAGGGGAAACAATCTGAACCTATTGTAAAACTCTGAGAGATGTGAAGTGAGGGAAGTGAACACAGCTCTCTTACCAAACTCTTGAGTAATTAAATAAGATTTCACTCTGTAGCCCTAGCTGGTTTGGCTCAGTAGACAGAGCGTTGGCCTGAGGACTAAGGGGTCTTGGGTTCGATTCCTGTCAAGGGCACATGCCAGGGTTTTGGGCTCCATCCTTAGTAGAGGGGGTGCAGGAGGCATCCAATCAATGATTCTCTCTCATCATTGAAGTTTCTGTCTCTCTTCCTCTCCCTTCCTCTCTGAAATCAATAATATATATATATATATATATATATATATATATATATAATTATTATTATTATTATTATTATTATTTAAGATTCCACTTTGAAATCTGAGGGACAAAAAAATATGACCCAATCAAAACACATTCCACTTCATAGAGTGTATGGCTAAATTTTGGGCTCTTGTTATCTTCAAAGGGTAGTATTGTCAGGGACTATAAATTAATTTAAAATGGATTTGGAGTAATGGTTTTAAATGGCTTTGGAGAGAAACCGGGTTCTACTTGTCTTTGAGGATGGGTCATGGGAAGGTAACTTTGACATTTCCTAGTGTTTCCTTCCGCAGTTCTGTCTGAGGAAGTTTACTGTCCTGCATGCCTGGCATGGTTTCCAGATGTTTGCTATACTGCCTGGCTAATTGCACCATCCACCAGAGCAACTGGAAAAACTTAAAGGATTTTACTTTTATAAAAAGAAGTAAAATAATATAAAAACACAGCATTAAATTGGTACTGTTGACAAGACTGGCAAATGGAAAACATCTTTAAAACTAATCCTTTACTGACTTGTTTGTTACCTAACCCCTCACTTATGGTTGGTTTTTCCAAAACAAGTATGATGCTTCTGAGACTGAGGAATTCCACTTTCCATGTTTATTGTCTAACCCCTCACTTTGGTTTGGTTTTGCCAAAGCAAGTAAGATGGCTCCTTGAACTAATCCTTACTGACTGGTTTATTGTCTAACCCCTCATTATGGATGTTTTTTTCAAAACAAGTATGATGCTTCTGAGACTGAGGAATTCCACTTTGCATAGCTACTGGTAATGCCATAGCTGACTGATTCATTGGCAGTGACCTTCTTCCAAAGTCTTCTCTTACATACAAAGCCCTTCTACTTTAGTGTGTAGACTTGTATTCATTTTCTGGAGGCCATTTAGGCTAAGGAGTTATAATACTATCTGCTTAGCCCCAGCTCGCTGGTTCCCTTTCCTTCTAGAATGGAAAGCTTGGGTTTTCAAAGACACATCAAGGAATACCTTTAGGACCGAAATAGACTTTTTCCCTTCGCCAGGCATTAGGCAATCTCCACAGTCTGAACTCCTAATGCCAAAGAGGAGGATGAAAACAGACAGAGCTTGCATTTACCTGAGAGAAGACTGCCCTTTAAATAGTGTGTAGAAAACACACTATTTGCTTCTGGGGGAGCATCCAGCATTCAACTACGGAGCACAGTAATGTCATATTTCAAATAAGAAGGGCAGATATGAGCTGAAGAAAGGTTCTTTTTGTCCTAGCTAACAGGTCCCCTTACTTTTGACAACTTTTGGAAGAAGGGAGGAAAACTTAAACATTTCAGGGTGTCTTGTGCTGCATAAAAATCTTATAGAACTGACATTCCAGAAACTTCCATGCTGAACAGACCATGGAGTGGGTCTGAGATGGGATGGAAGAACAATGCCTTAGAAAAGATATAGTTCTTCCTAAAGATATCCAGTTTCTAGAAAGGATTTATTGAGAAAATTTTCTATCTGGCTAGTATCTCATAGAGTTTGAGACTAAAATTGTGTTTGTCACACGATTTTCAGAAAATTAGCTTGACTAAATGTTCATGCCAGTTTGTAACTCAAAGAATCTTGGACTTCATGTTGACAGATGTGGATTCTAATTCCAGATTTAATAGTGCATGCATATTGGACCATACATATGTCCTCAAGGCCAAGGAACTCTTTTTTCCGTTTTTGCTCATGAATGGTACCCCTACTTGTTCATCAACATTAGCTAAATGTTATAAAAATTATCATGTCATACCTTCCCAAGGTGAAAAAACAGAATCAACTTTTTTTAAGTAAAAAATTAACTTAAAAAAAAGTAAAGACCCTCTATTAGAAATAGACATATCCAACAAGCAGAAAAATCAGTAAGGGCATTCTTCAACTAAGTAGCATTTTCAGTCAAATGGATTTAATTGACATCTACAGAATAATTCATCTACTAACAGTGAAATACACATTCTTGTCTGCTCACTTTAAACAGTCAGCAAGATAGACTACATTATTGGGAATAAAACTAACCTTGATAAATTTAAAAGATTAGAAATCATACAATAATTGCTCTCAAACCACAATAGAATTAAACTAGAAATAAATAACATAATGATAGCTGGAAAATCTCTAGTCCATGATGGTTAAACAATACATTGCTAAATACCACATAGGGAAAAATAAAGCTCTAAAGCAAATTTAAAGATATATTTAACTAAATTAAAATGAAAATAAAAGTCATCAAAATTTGTGGAATGCAGTGAAATAGTGCCAAGAGGAAATTTATAGTTCCGATGAATCAAAAAGAAAAATGATTAAAATCAGTAATGGTAGTTTCCAACTTAAAAAGAGTGAATTAAATCTAAAGGAAGCAAAAAAAACCAAAAAAACAAAAAAACAAAAAAACAAAAAAAAAAGGAAAGAAAAAGAATAAGGAAAGAAATAATACAGATTTGAGTGAAAATAATAAAATAAAACAAAAAATCAATTAAACCAAAAGCTGGTGCTTTAAAAAGCTCAATTAAATCAATAGGCCATTAGCTAACTTAAGAAAAAAAAGAGTGAGTACACAAATTCCTGGTATCAGAAATGAAAGAGGAAAATGAAGTATGCTAAGGGAAATGAGCCAGTCAGAGACAGACAAGTATCACATGATCTCACTTATATGTTGAATCCAATGAACAAAATAGATCCAGAGACATAGAAGCACAGAGCAGACTGATGAATCTCAGAGGGAAGGCAGGGGTGGGGGCTAGGGAGGAGAGATTAACCAAAGAGTTTATATGCATATATGCATACCAAATGGACACAGCTGAAGGCTTTGGGAAGAGGGGACAGGTGTGGGGTGGAAGGGGTCAATGGGGGGGAAAGGGACATCTATAATATTTTCAACAATAAAAATAAAAATTTAAAAAGAAGGCATATAGATCCCAGGGACATTTGAGGGGTAAAAAAGTAGCACCGTGCCAACAAACTTGATAACCTAGAAGAAATAGACAAATTCCTTAAAAAATACAACCTGCTGAAACTCACAGAAGAAGAAATGTACACTTTGAATAGGTCTATATTTATTAAATACATTGAATCAATAATTAATAACCTTCTAAAATAGAAAGCACAGGCCCAAATAATTTAACTGGTAAGTTTTACCAGACAATGAAGGAAGAAATTGTACCAATTTTCTACAATCTCCTTGATAAAGACGGAGGGGATCTTTCCTCACTCATGAGGTGGCATTACCCTAGGACCCAAACCAGACATTATGAGAAGAAAAACTACAGAACTCTATATCTCACAAACATAGATGTGAACTATGTGTTTCTTTATGAAGAAATTATGTAACTGATGAAAGCAATCAAAGAACTAAATAAATGGAAAAATACTCCATGTTCATGGGTAGGATTCAAAATTGTCATGTAAGTTCTTCCCAACTTGGTTTATAGATTCAACATGATCCCAATCAAAATGCCAGTGATTATTTTGTGGATATTAACAAATTGATCTTAAAGTTCATACAGAGAGACAGAAGACCAAGAATAGCTAATTCAATATTGTAGAAACCATCATAGGAGTGACAGTACCAAGTTCAATACTTATTGTAAAGCTATTAAAATCAAGACAATGTGATGTTGTCCAAGTGCTCAAAGGAATTTGAATAGATGATCTAGAAATAGACCAATATAAATATAGTCAGTTGACCTTTTACTGTGAACTTAAAACTATTTTTTTAAAAATAAAGCCTATTAAATGTTTTTTAAAATAACAAAAAAATAAATAAGGGATATTGAATGTGTTTAAAAATAAACAAAACTAATGAAAGGATAGGTGCCATTATTCCTTGTTACAACACCATCTGGATACCATTTTAATTTTGCACCCAGAGCCTCTCATTCCAGCTATGGCATCTCTGTGCCAAATCACCAAAATAAACAAAGCAAAACAGTATTTTTGTAAGCGCGTGTGTGTGCGAGCGCACACACACACACATTCTATCACCACTATTAACACCAGTAACAAAATAACAAAAATGCTATAATCGGGTTAAGAAGTAAAAAAATATAATTTTTGGAACAAAAACTGATGTTCACAATAACAACATTTTGATGTTTACTTCGAGACCATGTGGTTTCCTGTAACAGAGAGGAACTGACAGGAGTGCTCCAGCCATGAAGACAGAAGAGAAATAGTCCAGTGATGGAAGACACTGAGGACACCTCTCCATACCAGCAGACAGCAGCTGTGTGTCGCTGCAGGTTGTCCAGGACCAAACCAGAGATGATCGTACCTGCATTACCACCATTTGTCCATCATCCAGAACTGAAATATCATTGTTGACATGTACACATAAGGAATTGTTTGACATAGAAATTGGGACTCAAAAGAACTGTTGGCCCAGAAAGAAACTCACTATAGACTGATTCATTTGCCTCTCAACATAACCATTATTGCTTGTCTCATTTTCGGTTCTTATAACTGTATTTCTAGCATCATATGAGATCATTCATCTAGGGGAAACGATGAACAGATAGACTGATGTACAAGAACAGCATCGATCAGACTGTCAGCCACAGAGGGAAGGTAGGGGAAGGTGGGGATAGGGAGAGAGATCAACCAAAGGACTTGTGTGCAGGCATATGAGCCTAACCGGTGGTCACGGACAGCAGCGGGTGGGGGAATGTGTGGGAAGGAGTTTGGGATGGGAATGGTGGGGATGAGGACAAATATATGATACCTCAATCAATAAAGTAATTTAAAAAAAGAAATATCCAATGATAGTTATGCTAATTAAAATGATATTTTTATAAAAATGTATAATTTTCATCTAAAATGTTCAGGGTCACCCTCAATGGAGGCAATAGTTTTTAATTTATTTTATTTTTTAATATATTTTATTGATTTTTTTTACAGAGAGGAAGAGAGAGGGATAGAGAGAGTTAGAAACATCGATGAGAGAGAACCATTGATCAGCTGCCTCTTGCACACCCCCCTACTGGGGATGTTCCCACAACCAAGGTACATGCCCTTGACCGGAATTGAACCTGGGACCCTTCAGTCCGCAGGACAACACTCTATCCACTGAGCCAAACTGGTTTCGGCAAGGCTATGGCTTTTAGCTATGAATGCTGCTGTTAAGGCCTCAAGGCTCAGCCACAATCGCCTTTCCCTACAAAAAAAGGTGGCTACAAATTGGCTGCTCGGGGATTAAATCCAGGCAAAATATCTGCTGGTGGTGGTGTATTTTGTTTCTGCTTTTTATGTTGTTTTTTAGTCACATATTTTAGGATGGTTGAACTCAACTGTTTTTTTTTATTATTGTTTTTTTATTTCAGAGAGGAAGGGAGAATGAGAGAGAGACAGAAACATCAATGATGAGAGAGGATCATTGATTGGCTGCCTCCTGCACCCCTCCTGAAGATTGATGCTGCAACCTGTGCATGTGAACTTGTCCAGAATCAAACCTGGGACCATTCAGTCTGCAGGCTGATGCTCTATCCACTGAGCCAGACCGGCCAGGTCTGAACTCGAATGTTTTAATATGGAAAATGCACTGTTCATGTGCCTGTTCCATGCCACTTCCAGACATTTGGGTTGGTAAATGTTGCTGCTGGTCCTACCAGTGTCATCTCATGATCAGGAGCTCCAGAGAGATGGTAAGGTCAGTGGGCTTTTGTTTAGTTCCTGGCCTTTACGTGTAGCCTCCCTTGGACATAAGGCCAGGAGAGTAGGTTGGAGAACATGAGATGTGGGCTTGGGTACTCTCAGCTATGTTAACCCCTGGTAGTCATTCCTGAGGCTTTCAAATGTCCTTCCTTGATTCCTCTTATCATCTCCCTGTCTTTACTCTCCTACCCTGCCTTCTCACAAGTATTTTGGGAAGAAGCTCTTCTTTTGTCGGGCTTCATTCCTTGTCCTGTGTTTCTGTTCCCTATTTACCTCCGTTGGAATTTAATTTTGCCCTTGAACCTTTCTATACCCAGTGGCTACTTCCTTTCTGCATACAATGAATTCCATCTTCCTTTTTCTTCAAAACCAGAAAATTCCTCCTCAATCATATAACCCTCATTTCATTTCTTTCTTTTTAAGCTGCTACCTCATTGTCATCTTTTCCTTTTTCCTTTGAACAACTTGAAAGAATGTACTCTCCCCCAACTTCAACTCATGACTAAAATAAAATATTTTTCAGTACTTTATTCCTTGGAAATTAATGTCACCATAGTCATTCTTTTGAAAATGGTTTCCCAACAATCAGCAAGGATTACAAAATCCAGTGGACTTTTCTCAGAGAAAAAAAAAATTGCCTCTTTGCCACTTTGATTCTGCTTACAACTGCTTTTCCCTCAAAGTCTCCCTCCAGTTCTGTGGCACTGTGTTTCCAGATTTATTTTATGTTCTGATCATTGCTGACTCATTGTTGAACTCCCTAAATATAAGCCTTCCCCGAAGCTTTGTCTTTGGCTCTTTCCTCCTCTCTTTTCTCCTCCTTCCTTTAGTAACCTCATTCCAACTACTGTAAAATTTGAAATTTGCTAATATGAGTTGTGGTGAATATAGGAGTGTAAGAATATACAGCATTTAGAGAAGGCCTGGAAGGAGAGAGGCAACATTTTCATTATTTGTAGATCATGTGATTGTGTCCAAAGAAGATCCATGTAATCTATGCAAATGAACTGTTAAATTAAGAACATCCAGCAGCATTGCTGAACTGAAAGCCAACACAAAGAAGTCTGCAGGGTTTTATATACCTGTGGAAACAGCTAAAATGTAATAAATACAATAATAAAGCAACTATCACAATAACAACAATAGAATATATCATATTTAAGGAAATCCAACAAAAATGTGAAAGACCCATAAAGACATTTTTTTAAAAAAAACAGAATACATGGAGAGATAATATTGTGTTAATGGATGAGAAGTATATTACCAAAGAGAGAGAGAGAGAGACAGAGAGAGAGAGAGAGAGAGAGAGAGAGAGAAGTGGCAATTGTCCCTAAGTTATTTTCTAATAAGATTCAATTTAGCCGAGGCCAGTTTGGCTCAGTGGAGAGAGCGTCAGCCTGCAGACTGAAGGGTCCCGGGTTCGATTCTTGTCAAGGGCATGTACCTTGGTTGCGGACACATCTTCAGTGGGGTGTGTGCAAGAGGCGACTGATCGATGTTCTCTCATCGATGTTTCTGGCTCTCTATTTCTCTTTCTTCCTCTCTGTAAAAAATCAATAATATATATATATATATATATATATATATATATATATATATATATATATATTTAAAAAAAAAGACTCAATTTAAATAAAAATATAACCCAGTTCATCAGGGAACTTATGCTGATGCTTAAGTCCATATGGGACAATTAAAGACCAAGAACAGATAAGATATTTTGAAGAAGAAAAGAATGAAAGAATATTGACCCCAAATTAACATAATGCTATAGCAATTTAGATAATGCTGGAAAACAAACCAGTTTCACTAAAAAAGAGATGTTGACAGGAAGCCAGGAAGGCTGGTCAACAACCTTAATTGCTCTAACCTTTAGTTGAGATATTGTTAGCTGAAGCAGCCTCCACCTTGTTTGTCCCGTGTAAGTTTCTGTTATTTTCAGCCTAAGGGCTAAATGTAAACTTCTCTTTATGTTGCCTAAGATGTTTTCCCCAAAGCTTCAATAAAAGGGGATGGCAGGGTCAGAGCAGTAGTAGTTCTCCCACTAGAGTTGGACTACTGCCTGGCCTCCCATATGGCCAAATTGAATTTTTTCAAGTCTCAAGTCTCTTCATTTGTGTGCAGCCCTTCTTCAGAACCTGAACCCTGAATTGGAACTCTTTCCACATGGGCTGTGAAAGAGATTACTACAAAATAATATGATTATTTTTATTTAGATAAAGGAAGGAGAGAGAGAGAGAGAGAGAGAGAGAGAGAGAGAGAGAGAGAGAGAGAGAGAGAGAGAGAGAGAGAGAGAGAAAGTAGTTTTCCACTCATTTATGTATTCACTAGAGGCCCTGTGCCCAAAACTCGTACATGGGAGGGGGAGGCGTCCCTCAGCCTGGCCTGCATCCTCTCACAATCTAGGACCCCTCAGGAGATGTTGGACCTAAACCTGCAGTCGGACATCCTTCTTGCAATCCAAGATGTGACTTGCACCAGTGACCATACTTTTATTTTTAACCTTTTTTTGTTGTTTAAAGTATTACAAATAGTAATACATATGTCTCCTTTTTTCCCCCACTGACCTTCCCCTGGCCTCCCCTATCAGACAGCACATCAGCACATGCCCTCACCTCACTCTCACAGTGTCGTGCATCCATTGGTTATGCTTATTTGCAGGCATACAGGTCCTTCGGTAGATCGCTTACCCCCGCCCCTCTTCCCCCCCCTCCACAACCCTCCCCAGCCTTCCTGCTCTAATTTGACAGGCTGTTCAATGCTTCTCTGCCTCTGTATCTATCTTTTTGTTCATCAGGTTATGATGTTCTTTATTATCCTTAAATGAGTGAGATCATGTGGTATTTTTATTTCACTGACTAGCTTATTTCACTTAGCATAATGCACTCCAATTCTATCCATGCTGCTGTAAGTGATAAGAATTCCTTCTTTTTTATAGCAGTGTAATATTGCATTGTGTAGATATACCATAGTTTTCTAATCCACTCCTCTGCTGATGGGCATTTAGGTTGTTTCTAAATCTTAACTATTATAAGTTGCGCTGCTATGAATATAGGGGTAAATATATCCTTTCTGATTGGTGTTTCTGTTTTGTTGGGATATATTTCTAGAAGTGGGATCACTGGGTCAAATGGGAGTTCCATTTTCAGTTTTTTGAGGAAACTCCATACTGTTCTCCACAGTGGCTGCACCAGTCTGCATTCCCACCAGCAGTGCACGAGGGTTCCTTTTACTCTGCATCCTCACCAGCACTTGTCATTTGTTGATTTGTTAATGATAGCCATTCTGACAGGTGTGAGATGGTATTTCATTGTTTTGATTTGCACTGCTCAGATGATTAGTGACTTTGAGCATGTTTTCATATGTCTCTTGGTTTTCTGAATATCCTCTTATGAAAAGTATCTATTTAGGTCCATTGCCTATTTTTTGGTTCAATTGTTTCTTTTCCTTTTATTAAGTTGTATGAGTTCTCTGTAAATGTTGGATATTAAACGCTTATCGGAAACAACATTGGCAAATATATTCTTGCATACAGTGGGCTTTCTTGTTGTTTTGTTGATGGTTTCTTTTGCTGTGCAGAAGCTTTTTATTTTGATGAGTCCCATTTGTTTATTTCCTCCTTAGTCTCTCTTGCCCTAGGATCTGTATCTATAAAGATATTGCTATTACAATATATGTCTGTAATATTGCTGCCTATGGAGTCTTGTAGGATTTTTATGATTTCCCATCTTACATTGAAGTTCTTCAGCCACTTTGAGTTTGTTTTTGTGTATGGTATAAATTGATGAACTAGTTTCATTTTTTTGCATATATCTGACCAAATTTCTCAGCACCATTTGTTGAAGAGTCTGTTTTGACTCCATTGTATGCTCTTGCTTCCTTTGTCAAATATTAATTGAGTATAATGGCTTCAGTCTATTTCTAGGTCCTCTGTTCTGTTCCATCGGTCTATATGTCTGTTCTTGTGCCAGTACTAGGCAGTTTTGAGAACCATTGCTTGGTAATATAGCTTCATGTCTGGTATTGTGATCCCTCCAACTTTGTTCTTCTTTCTCAGGATAGCTGTGGCTATTCGGGGTCTTTTTTTATTCCAGATGAATTTTTGAAGAGTTTGTTCTAGATATTTGAAATTGGTATTTTAATAAGTATTGCATTGAATCTATAGATTACTTTAGGTAATATGGACATTCTAATGATGTTGATTCTACCAATCCATGAACATGGTATGTTCTTCCATTTTTTCATGTCTTCCTCTATCTCTTTTTTCAATGTCCTATAGTTTTCTGAGTACAGGTCTTTTACATTCTTAGTTAAATTTATTTCTATGTATCTTAATTTTTTTTGGTGCAATGGTAAATGGGATTATTTTTTTCATTTCTCTTTCTGTGAGTTTATTATTGATGTATAAAAAGGCCATAGATTTCTGGGTGTTTATTTTGTATCCTGCCACATTGCCAAATTCATTTTTTAGGTCTAATATTTTTTTATGGAGTCTTTGAAGTTTTCAATGTATAGTTTCATATCATCTGTGAATAAGGACAGTTTTACTTCTTCTTTTCCAATTTGGATCTTTTATTTCTTCTTCTTGTCTGATCGCTATGGCTAGTACTTCTAGTACTATGTTGAACAGGAGTGGTGAAAGTGGACATCCTTATCTTATTCCTGTTCTTAGGAGAAATGGATTTAGTTTTGCTTATTGAGTATGATGTTAGCTGTACATGTGTCATATAGGGCTTTTATTATGTTGAAATATGATCCTCCTATTTCCACTTTGCTGAGGGTTTTTTATCAAGAAAAGGTGTTGGATTTTGTCAAGTGCTTTTTCTTCATCAATTATGTGATTTTTATCTCTCAGTTTGTTTATGTGATGTAGCATCCTTGCATTCCCGGGATAAATCCCACTTGGTCATGGTGTATTATCTATCTAATGTATTGCTGAATCTGATTTGCTAGAATTTTGTTAAGGATTCTAGCATCTATGTTTATCAAGGATATTGGCTTGTAGTTCTATTTTTTGTGGTGTCTTTATCTGGTTTGGAGATTAGGGTAATACTGGCTTCATAGAAAGAGCTTGGAAGTGTGCCTTATTCTTGAATTTTTTGGAATAGTCTAAGAAGGATAATGTTTTAGTTCTTTGAATGCTTGGTAGAACTCCCCAGTAAAGCCATCCGGACCAAGGCTTTTGTTTGCTGGGAGATTTTTTATCTTTGTTTCAATTTCTTTCGTAGTTATCAGCCTATTCAGGTTTTTTTATTCTTCTTGGTTGAGTTTTGGGAGCTTGTATTTTTCTAAGAATATGTCCATTTTATCTAGGTTGTTCATTTTGTTGGAACAGAGTTGTTCATAGTATTTTTTTCCCCATAATCGTTTGTATTTCTGTGGGATCGGTTGTTACTTTACCTCTTTCACTTTTAATTTTGTTTATTTGGGTCCTCTCTCTTTGCTTCTTGGTGAGCCTGGCTAGAGGTTCATCAATCTTGTTTAGCCTTTCAAAGAACTAGCTCTTGGTTTTGTTGATCTTTTGTATTGTTTTATTTTTGTTGGATTGTTTTTGTTTGTTTGTTTGTTTTGTGTTTTGGGGGGGGTCTCTATGTCATTTATATCCACTCTGATCTTTATTATTTCCTTCCTGCTGCTTACACTGTGCTTTTCTTTTTGCTTGTTTCATTGTTTCTTGTTTTTTTTAGGTAGGACTGTAGAGCTATGAACTTCCCTTTCAGACTGAAGAGAATACAGTAAACCCTCAATTTTATGGACCTTGATTTAACAGACTTCAGATTTAACAAATAAAATTTCTGGTCTGTATGTCATATATGAAAATTAACACTTCTATTACTTTTAAAATGCTTTTAACCAAGATTTGTGTATTATCAAATTAACAGGTTGTTTTTTGTTATTAATTCACTGTTATTTTTAACAAATTTTAGTGAATAGGCCATATTTTGGGGGGAAAAAACACTACTAATATCACTGACATAAATAAGTATTACATATTTACAACTATATTCTACATATGTAAATCCAAGAGTCACCCCTCATAAACAATGTTTGGGAATGATTAGCATGTGATAACACTACATCTCATGCACTGTAATTGGTTTGTTGTCACGTAAAATTCAATTACAGTAATACGTATAGAAAACTTTTATGTGTAATTAAATTTTTCATACATACTATTTTTAATTACACAGACATGTCTACTTAAATAAAAACAGGTAAACTAACCATTTTGCCAATTTCTTAACATATGCTTTCAAAAAATCTACTTTATTATATAACAGACTTCTGGCTTTAACAGGCACCCCCCTTGCTTGAATTAGTTTGCTGCACTGAGGTTTTACTGTGTTGTTGGTCCACTGGGAACCATATGATGCCAAATTCAATGACAGAGCCAGCAGCAGTGGTGATCAAGGGCTATTCAGGAATACAAGACAGTAATTATCCCATTGTCACTGAAAATCATGCTGTTCATCACTGCTCCATACAACTGTCAATGATGGGTTCCAGATTCATACATATGCATGGAGCCATTCTTAGAAACTCAGCTAAGGGACAAATTATTGTTATTACCCATCAAAACAAATGTTTAAAAAGACAACTACAATAAGCACAAAATAAATGACACAATGTGTTGACACAGTTGTAGAGCTAAGAGATGGCAGACAAGGGTGATTTCAGGAAATTTGGGGATTCAAAGTCCTCAGATTTGTCATCCCCACCACAACCTTGCCTTCCTATTTCTTGGAATCCCATCACTTTTTCACACCTTGACACCTACTAAGTGGAGTATCTCAAAGCCACTGCAATAGTGACCTTTACAATCTAGTCCTGGTAACGGTCCTCAGCTTATCTGCTCTGGCACTTCAGGAGATGAGGAATTTGCTCCAGGTTGCCATCATAATCTATCATTCTCCAGTCATATTCTGAACTGGAATTTCACAGCCTGTAGTTCCACTTTGTCTTGTGTAAGCTCCACAGGACATTTATAAAAAGCCAAACATACACACAAATTTAATAATCATTGTGGTTTTTCTAACCACTAAGTTAGACTCAGCCATTGGATCTCTGATCATCCATATTCATTACCTCCAGCTACCACCAGGGGTAATTTGAATATTTGTGATGATAGCACATGACATACACTGAGTGGCCAGATTATTATGCT